GGTACATTACATCCTGAACAATACTGTAAAGTACCAAAGTACTTGTCATTAGAACATCCACTTTTAAATGAAGTCTAATACATTTAAAGAAATAAAATTCAGCAGGTAACATTGCTTTTGGAGCTCAAGCAGATACAACAGGACAAGACCTGTGACTTTTCAGATCCTCGCCCACAAACAATACTAACAAATTCAACTTATAACTTCCTAATTTACGGCAAATCCCCTAAATTGCTTTGGCCGCAGGCAGATTGCTATTATTATTTTACGCTTTTATATGAATTGATGTGTTTAGTTTTCCTAGTCAGGTACTCCAAGTACATCCCTTTATAGCCTCAGGACAACAAGAACACTGAAATCAGTTTTTAATGATTATTCTTATACCTTTTCTTTTGTCCAGCAAAAGCCACAAGGATCAGAAAAAGCCCTTTAAACTGATATTGCTTCTCATAAAAATACACATATAAACCACACAATATTTAACAGCAAAGAAGCCAGATCACAAACTCATATTCTATAGAAGTGAGGCACTTCATAGCAACAACCTGATAACCTGAACTACATTCAAATTAGTCTAGGTTACCTCATGCAGTACATACTATAAATACCTGAACCTGTTTACCAGGATGGAGAAAAACGTGCCACTGCATCTCGACCATAAACACTGAAGCAACATATTGAAGTGGGCTGTGTGGACTGTAAAAGTCACAACTATGTCACAGTACACGAAACTAATCACAGATTGTAAGTACTCTTTGATAAGTCAAGCTAAAAAAAAAACCCTACATTATCAACAATGTCAAAAAAACCCTCTAAACTCCTGAAGTAAACACAACTGCAAGCAACAGCACTGTCTGTATACCAACTGTCATTTCCTGTGGGGTTAAGCAGCACTTTCCCAGGCCTGACAACCACAAACAGCTGAGAGAAGAGAGGCTGTCGGAAGCTGGGAGACATGAGAGTGTGAGAAGCATTTAAAGTGCTCTCATTCTGAAAGAGCTGGCTAAAGCAACGTTTGCTGAGAATTAAGCGGCTAACTGCTCGTGATGGGTGGATGTTGTTGTTTTGCTGAGTGAGATAAAGGTTTCTTCATTATAAACAAAATATTAGTGATCCTTATTACTAATTAGTAGCACATTCAAGTGTTTTTTTGGATGTGGAAAGGTGTGCAAAGTTGTGCAAAGGTGGCAACTCCACTGTGAAGACAAGTTGTTAAGATATCGCAGTCTCTCTGCTGGTTGGAAGGTAATACCAACTGTAACTGTGTCTTAACAGTTTCACTTCTGGAGGTGATACACGTGTTAATAATTTCTGTGTACAATAAATAAGTAGGTTGTTAAAAAGTTTCCACTGTTTGTGCTAAGCTTTGATAAACAAATCACAGGGCTTTGAGGTGAGGCTGAAAGGAAATTGAGACAATCTTCTCATTTGAGTTTAGTGAGGAAGCCAGTCTGAACTGTTTCTTTGATGAACACCATCATAGTTTCTCTCACAGCTTCAAAAGTCAGTACTGTATTAAATGAAAACACAGGCTATAAATTCAAGTTATTATGCCTGAGAAAGCAAATAATAAGGCACCTGCAAAGATGTACATACACACACACAGACACACTGAACAAAATCCTGCTGTGACACTTGGGAATAAACTGCTCACTCAGCTTTCGGCCCCCTGAAGAGTTTTTCTCCTTACATGCTGTGCTGCATGTGCACAACGCAGCAGACGTCCTCGCGAACAGCTGGACAGTCACGGTCACATTGTAAAGCCAACCAACCAAGGATCTGTCTGTTAAAGTCCCATACTTCATCGTCTTCACTGTAGTCACCAAACTATAAACATTTTCCTTCACTACCTTACGACGACAGCCATTAGTCGACATGCAGCATACACGTTCTACAATACATCTGCTATCTGCTTCAGGCTATTACCTTAAAATGCAGTGACCAGCTTCCAAAGACACCTCTAGTGTCCCCGGAAGAAGCAGCAGTACATCCCCAGACAAAAAAGAAAATATGTGTAACTGTCACTCACAGGCCACCTTCCTGCACACAAAGATTAACATGAATTACTAAATGGGTTGAACTTTCCTTGAACAAAATCAAGTAGAGATACCACAGCTGTTGGACTAAACATTGTAGTTTCAGTGAATCAAAACTGCTGGAAGCACGTTACAGCGTGTTTTCACTGTGTAGCGATTCAGCCCCCTTTTCATTTATGATCTCCTTTGCAATGCCACCTCTTGGTCAGCCCCCACAAAGTTTGTTTGCTTCAACCTAACCCTCACAACAAGAGGAACCATTATGTAGGTGGGTTAGATATGGCCACATGAACACGGTAAAATGAGATACTTCTTCCAGTGAAACCTGAAGTCTTGTAAAAAGACATTTTATCAGTATAGGAGTTTATAACTTAAATAATAAAATAAACTATGAATGAAACAATATAAAAAGTAGTTGAAAACTTAAAGGTCTCATCTCACACACATTTTTAACAAGTTAATGTAAATCGCACATTTCCCCAGAATGTGTATTTTAAGTTTCAGCTCAAAATGCTCAACAGATTGTTAATTCTGCCATGCCATTATTACACATGGCTTGAGTCCTGTTCCGAATGAGCGGTTTTAGTGTCTGTAGGTTTAAATCTAACGGATCTGCTGCTGCCCACAACTCTTTCACTGCAGGGACACAGCATCTACTCAGTTTAGCAAGCTGTTAGCTGGACCATTCTGCAGTACAGAGTGGTGTGTTAAATGAAAAAAATTATATACCTTAGCGAAGAATACAGTGACAGTGTTTTTTTCAAAATGGTGGTGAGGAGAATTGTAACATAAAACATTGTGCGCAGAGAGGTGAGCGCTGTCATGAAAATGGCTAATTCAGCCCAAGTAATAAAAAAAAAAATGCAAGGCTGCCTTTCTACTTAATCTGGAGGATATCGAGTTTCCCGTGGTGAAGGGGGTTTTGAAAAGGGTCAACGGAAGGAGTGGAGCGAGCCAATGTATGGCCAATGTAAGGCTTGTACCAGTGTGGACTTTCAAAGTGGACCCACATGTGGTTCTATTCATACTAAAACAGGAACACAGTGGTCTGCTACATGGATGATTACATTGCCTTTTATATTACACACAGAAAAAAACATAGGGCTCCTGTGGCTGTTTCTGAAAGGCTGCCTGTAACTTTGTACTTTTAGAGGATATAAGACCTGGTTACAGATTGGGCTGTAGCGCCATGTTAATGTGGTTGCTCCAGAGGGCAGCCATTACACAGGATTTCTGGAGAGCTTTGGACATTGTTCTGTGTTTTGGCTCCATCAATGTAAAGCATGTACAAACCAAAGCTCCTCCAAAGTCTAGCAGTGACTACTTAAATTTCAACTCTTTAAATGATGAATCACAAAGGTGTGACTGACAAAAAAAAATCTCCTTGCACAGTCTCACCTCCAAAGAAGTGTTTGTCTTCAGCAGGGACATCTCAAGCACAATCCTAAGATCGAGGGCAGTAACAGGATGTTTTTAACTAATTCGTCTCACCGTTAACCCATGCCCAATTTTTTGCTTATATCCACTGACATATGAAATAGTGAATTAAGCAGGCATTAGATGTTTCACTGAGATTTAAAAATACTATCCCAGTTTACCAAAAGCTCAGTTAACTCTTGTTTTCTGGCCTCAAGTCCCTTGTCCTCATAAAAAGTCTTTATCACGTTGCTCCTTTACTCACTAAACTCCCACAAAACTCTTTGCTTGCCAACATGGAAGTGATTGCCTCCTTGGGTCAATCACTATGTTTCAGTACTGTTTCATAGTAATTGACCCAAGGAGGCAATCACTATGAAACAGTACTACAACAATTGAAGTGTGTACTGTCTAGGAAAGTGGCATTGGGTATCAGAAGATGATAAAAACAATAAATGACTCAGGTCGGATCAGCAGCAAAAAACAAACAAACTTTGGGACATGTCTAGTCTTAAGAATCATTTCTTTACCTAGTGTATGTGTAACTGGTGGCCTTGTAGTGCAGACAGTCTGCAAATTTTGGCTTGTAAAGACATCTGGCAAAGGAGTCCTTCATGGAGATGGGTGGAAGACAAAATTCATGTCTCACATACCGTTGCAGCTTAGTACATGGAAAGCATGTATTGATCTGAAGTGAGTGGCAGAGAGGAGCTGTGACATCACAACAGGCTGCCAATCAGAGGCACACTCTCTACTCTCTGGCGGATGTAAAGAAACAACAGGAAGGCCATGTCTCATATGTTGTGTGACTGTAGACACACAGGGGACATAAAAAACATATTGTGAAATGATGACAATTTAGATTTTGCATACTGGGGCCTCTTTCTCCACTTCGATAAATCTGGCTACATACTGTGAAATGACTGCAGCTATCAGATGGTGACTGGTCTCGGTCTTAAAAGCGCTGATACCCAGACAGGAGCTGCCTGGACTCGAACCTGCGACTGATGCACAAACATGCCTCCAACATTTACTTTTGCTATAGTGCACGGAGGCTTCGTTAAAAGTTAACAGCTTGTTTGAGCAGTCGTTGTCTATATGTGTGTACTTTTACACTTGGGCCTAATAAAAGCGTTTCACACACACAGCAGCATCTGTCTCAGACAGGCAGCAGGAACTGAAGCCACAACAAGTGCATTACTGGAGCTCTGTGCTCACAACGATGCAGGAAATTACAGGCTGCACTCACTCCGAATTACAGCACGTCAGTTCGCTGTGGACAATCAATACACTGTTTACACTCTTTAATCAGTGCACTTTTAAAAACGTCGACATAGAAGTTGTAAATCAACGCCGCGTCTCTGCTGCTGAACTTCCCGAGAACACTGACGTCGCTGCAGGTGAAGCGTTTAAAACTAAAAGCTAAACATAAAAGTCGACGGTGCAGCTGCTGTCAGGTTCAACAAAGTAGTAAACGTCATTTATGTTTAAAAAAAAAAAAACAAAACCGGCGAAAGTCTGACATGTTTCAACAGCGTCTTATTTTACCTTCGAGTCTCCGTCGAACAACGTCACCAAACTTCCAGCACTGCACTCGCACGCGGACGCAGCAGAGGCTCACAGACGGAGCTCCTCCATGCTGACAGCTCCGATGAATCCGCTCAGGTCTGTCGCTTTGTTCGAGCGGCCGAACAACAAACTCAAATCAGTGCATCTTGGAGGCGGAGACCCGCTACTTCACGGATGAGAGCCGCAGAGAGCAGACCACTAAGCAGTGACCTATCAGTGTCTGGCCAAACACTACTAATGACCTCCCTTCTTTTAACCTTTTAGTGGCCCGAGTGCTGCTCCTCATCGACCTGCTTTTTTAAAATTCTAACCATCTGTGATTTTATTCGTTCTTTTACTTCATATTTCATATCCCCAAAACTCTTTTTTATCAGTAAAAGTTGTGCCACAAAGTGATAGCTTGCCAAAAACTGATTGTGAACAATAGGTTTCCTTTTTTTTTGTTGGCTTGTATTATTTTGCCTTTTCTGTTCAGTTGTTGTTGAAATATCTTTTAAAGACCAATTCAACTCTTATAATAGTTTTCCACTTGCTAAAAAGTGACTGCAGCCCTCTATACTGTGACTGAAATGTTAATAATGCATGAAGATTCTGGTCGTAATGTAAAGATTACAGCCCTTGTCATAACTGTAAGAGAGATAATGTCTTAGTTTTACACTTCAACCCCACAATCATAACAGGGGTATTCAACACATACAGCCGAAGCATTGAAACATTTTTTTGTTCACAATAATTTGGATACAAGAAACATTAAAGTTTCACAAACAGACACTTTTGCTGTTATCACAGTCATGAAGTTCTGTGTAGTTGCATGTTATGACTGATCCAGATTCAAGCAGAGGTATGCATATAGAAGCTGGACAATATCACTTTGACAAGAAGTGCTTAATCAGTTTTTGGCAGATGATCACTTTCTGGCACAGCAAATTAAGACCATAAATCTGATGTTTCAGACATGCAGTAGCGCTAAATGTGGCCTATATTGTACCCAAATATTTGCAGCAATCCGATTTAAAGTAATTTAAAGTGCTTAATTGATAGAATCCTACTTAGTTTAGAGGCCTGAGTTGGCCTTATGCTCATATGATTGCAGATTCCAACAGAAAAGGTCTCTTTACTGCAAATTTAAAATCGTATCTTTTGCATAAGGATTTACTTTTGTCAATAGGACACATCCAAATCATATTTGGTACAAAAGCATGTAACTGTTCAATGTGAATCAATGGACAGTTTGGATTGATTCAATCACCATGTTATCTGTGCTGTAAGTGCAAGGTGCAGCCTTTGTTGTGTCAGTGTGTAACATAATGAGGACAAAGGAACACTCAATGCAACTCGGCTAATGTTGTGACACAATAAAACATATACATGTCCAAGAAGCGTGAATGCTTCAAGTGATCTCACAGTGGATGGATAACAAAGAAACACATTCATTCTGAATAGTGCTGCAAAACACAGCACTGTGAATTATATCTCAAGTTTGTATGTGTCTCAAAATAAACACAAATTAGTCACACTAGTATAATACAATGCTGTAAGTTTAGTGGTGCAGACTGTATATGCATATGTGATAAATGGACAGATCTTGGAAGTCAGTGTATTTTTTTGCTCTGTCTTTTCACCAAAATTCAATTATATAGCAACTGAAACAAATAGCAATAAAGACACTGAACAGATAAATACCAAACTCTATAGTTCACTTTTGTGTCTGTATGGCGGCCCAATAAAAGGTCCCACCAGCAGGGTGTTCACTCACTGAGACTTTCTACTGACATCATTAAAACTTTTAAACACACGCTCTGTGTGACAATGCTGGCTTTTACATTTGCAGATTTTTACTGCTGTCATACTGTGACTAAATGAAAAACTTGGCATTAAGGGCCAGTGCATCCTGCATCAGCCGCAGTCCACAATTGCTCCATGCATTTGTGTCTACATACACTGTATGAGACTTGAAGATGTTAACAAATTTTGTTTTAATCCCTTCAAGCACAGTGAAGAAACCCTTGATCAGTGACTGACAGTTTTAGAAGATAGCACAAAGAAGAAGGATTACAGTGATTTGTAGCTCAGATCATGAGGTCTGACCTTCTCTGCCTCTTTGGGAACAAAGGATTAAAGGTTACAGACAAACAATGTGGGCAGCTTGTCTGCCAGTGTGTGCGTGTGTGTTTATGTATTTGTGTGTTTCAACGCATCCCTCTCAGAGTGTGACTTTTTCTGAGGCCTTGTGCATGCAGCATGCAAAAGACTGTTGTCTGGCAGAAACAACTTGCTTCTTGGATTCTATGGAGAGCTTGAACAATGTTTCTATTGATTGGAAAGTGACAAAGACAGAGAGAAAAAAAGAGACAGACAGTCCAACAGATGAGACAGAGGCAGATCTACAGTTACTATCTGATTACAATCAACATCATTCACTGTCAAAAAAGACTTTTTACGAGAGAAAAAAGACTTGTGGGAAAGCTGACTGAGGTTCAGTTCTCTAATCAAGCCACAAATGGTCTGAACGGGATTTTATTTTCACTGATATTTTGTGCTGCTGAATTTAATATTAAGGATCCATCTAAATTTTTAATTTTTAATTTTCCTAGAGCCACTTGACAGTATTTAACTCTCATATCTCATCAAAACAGATCTTCAGTTTGATTTTCATTAATCTTATTTTTCCCCAGACTACAAAAAGGGGTTAATTGCTTTCTTTTTGTTTTATTAATCATATATAATTGTGTGTCCCTGGAATTTCAAAGATCTTTCCAAACAAGTGCAGCAATCCTTTCTTCCTGAGAAAAACACGAGTTTGTTCACATAGGCAACTTTTTTGTATACAACATAGGCAACACAAGATCAGACAAAGTTGACTCTAGTCATTATTTAGAGTGTGACAAGCATAAGGCTTTGGCAGCTAATGGATTTTCACACTTGCATGGAGGCAATTACGACAGTTAGTAGTGATCCTTGAGGCTAATGAGATTAAGATTAAGATGAGATAAATCTGACATGTACAGCAAAGTGCATCAGATTTTTGACTTCACATTGGCTATCTACGGGACATTAATCTATTTGTAGTGTGGGACTCCAAATTAACTGCTAAAAGGGAAGATTAGCATTTCTTCAGGGACATACACTTTAACAGCAACGACTTAATTGCTGCCCATCTGTAAAATTAAAAATAATTAACCTGAAGTAAGCTGCAAACCTCATCTGAGTGATGACAGCTCCAAGTATACACTAAATTTAGCTGACTGCACAACCAGCTGAATTTATAGGGGGGCAAGCGGCAATCAAAGCCTTAGAGAAGCAATGTAGATGCAAAAAGTGTTTTTTTACATTCAGATTTGAAACTGAAACACTTTCCTCTCACCATCCATGTGTGTGTGCAAGCGTGTAAATGAGTGCATGTGTGATGGAAAGGTACAATGCCCTTTTTCTTATGTCGGGGCCTGAAATAGCTACTGCTTGATAAGATTCTCTCTCTCTCTCTCTCTCTCTCTCTCTCCCCTTCTTTCTCTATACATATATATATATATACACAGTGGAAGGGTGCTGGTACAATGAGCGCTCTGAAGAAATCGCTGTAGGTGCTGTTGTTGTAATGTGCAGTCACTGAGAGTAATTCATGGCACACATTCAGTGACTGCTCTGCCATTCACAGACACGACGTTCCTGCCAACTGGACAAATAATGAATACATAAAATCCCGGCTCAGTTACCCATAAGCCCACATGCACTGAGTGGTTGCACTGCCTTTGCATATAAATAAGTTGGACAAATAAGTCAGTGGCTGTGTCTGAAATGGTCCATACTTACTAACATTTACCCACAGCCATTTCATCCGATTCCATGGATTCTGTGTAATAAATGCACTCTATACTTGCACTGCACTTTATACAGAAAATATTATCTAAAGAGTTTACAGTGCAGTACTGTCTTCTAACATTTCTTCATGCATTGAGTCACATTTTATGGATACATTCACTGTCAGAAATCTTGATTCGTCGTTCAATAAAGAGAAAAGTACAGTGTCTACTTCATACAGCAATAGTGAATGACTGAGAGAGGGATTTTCAGAGAGCACTGTTACTCTGCCCACAGTCTGTATATGTTCTGATGAGCATACATCTACTACTCAGATGCAGAGTATCTATTAACTGTAAAACTGCAGTGTGCTGATGACAGTGACTCAAAACAAACATTCAGACTAACCATAGCCCCAGGGTTTTGTATAGACCTAAGGAATCAGTTCTGTTAACTTGGAGGGTGTTGCTTCCTGTGTCTTTCTTCTTCAGAATCGAGTTCTGGGTCAAACATTTATGGCTGGATCACTCTGATACCTTGGCATTGTGTAACACAGTGTTTGAACAGTGTCATAGGTGAGCTGATGCGCTCCAGCTGCAGTGAGTGAGAAGGAGTGAATGAAGAGAGAGGCAGAGACTTTATTAATCCACACATTCTAAAAGAGGAAATGCTGTGGGGTTACATGTTAGCCAATTTAAGGCATGAAAAGTAACTTTTAAATGTTACTTTGATACACATTCTTTTTTTTTTTTCAGATTTAATTATTGACTAGACTTCAGAATCACAGGTCACCATCAGGCTAATGTGAATTCTGTTATGTGTGAAAAAGGTGTAATGCTGCTTTGATGTGTTACGGAGAAAATGATCGCTAAAGAGAGAGTAAGCCTGCATCTGCACTTTTCTTTGCTACATACAATTCTATTCAATTTGCATAAAATGACCTCTCAGCATTACTAAGGTTGATCACATCTTATCAAACTACTTTAAATGGTGCTATTTTGCCTATATGATTTCTCCTTCTATTACAAATGCTTGCTAACAGACAGTTGACAGCATAGAGCCTCGTTTCCTTCATGTTCACGGGCCAATAGTGTGAACCTCTAGTCCATGCTGCCACCCAATGAGCATCTAGAGAACATGAAATGCCATCACATCTATTTAAAGAAAAGCTGGAAACAACAACTGGCCTCAGGTTCATCACCTAATTTTTGAGGTAGTTATAGTGCTGTCAAGTCGACCCTATTACTGGCCCATCAATCACCTGAGAAACTGTG